AAAAAAAAAAAAGTGACTAAATTTATTTTTATTTTTACTTTTTGGTATCGGGGATCTAACTCTGGACCCTGCACTTGTGAGGCAATAAGTGACTAAATTTGGCCAGGGACTTTATTTAGTTTGCAAACCTCTGACCTGGAATCTAATTTAAGCTCCAATAGGGCCAGAATTTTTAACTACTTTTTTTGGTACTAGGTATGGAACTAGAATCCTTGTGCTTGTGAGGCAGGCAGCAGAACCACTGAGCTAAATCCCTGGCCCCTTAACTATTTTTATATATAAAAATAAATAGTAAGTTACCTATAATCCCAGCACTCGGGAGACTGAGGCAGGAGGATAACTGTGAATTCGAAGGCAAACTGGGCTACATAGTGAGTTCAAGGCCAGTCTGAGGTACATAAGGGAGACACTGTGTCAGGGGGTCGGTGGGAGGGGAACAAAAGAAAAAGGAAACCAAAGCCCAGAAGTAAAGTAACATGCCCATGGCTACCAACTGATTGGTGACAAATCCAAAATCTAAACCCGTGTAGTTGGGCATCAGAGTACAGAACTCTTAATTACTCCATTCTGCAGGGTGACAGGAAATCATCAGCTGTTCTCACAGGCTTTGGGAGAAGTTACTTTAACTGGAGTTTTGGTTTGTTTTGAGACAGGGCCTCGCTAAGTAGTTTAGACTGACCTTGAACTCACTATGTGGAAAAGGCTGGCTTTGGGCCGGGGATTTAGCTCAGTGGTTGTGCTGCCAGCTTCGCAAGCACAAGGTCCTGAATTCAATCCCTTGTACCAAAAAAGAAAAAGGAAAAAAAAGAAAAGGCTGGCTTTGAACTTGCATATTCCTCCAGCCTCAGCCTCCCGAGTGCTGGGATTTCAGACGTGCACCACCATGCTCAGCTTCAGTGTAACTGGACCTTGGAGAACCAAGAATGTACCAGGAAGAAAACAAGAAAGGAGAAAGAAGCTTTGTGTTCTAGGACATGGAAACTGCAGGTATAAGACCAGATGTGTGGTATGGACTGGCACTAGGAACACGGTGGCAGTGAAGGAAGAAATTTCCTCAGGGGTATTTGGCTATGGGGGGATTGGTACAAAGACTTGAAGCTATTTGTGGTATGCACGACTCAGATGTTTCTCATTAAAACACAAAATTAGCCAAAAAAAAAAAAAAAATTCCTCAGGGGAAGGTTCACCTCTCCGAGCATGACAATGGCCAGACCCAGGGCTGGGGTGGAGAGTGCTGCAGAGCAGGCTGAAAAAGTATGCCTAGGCCCTGGTGCCACGTGTGAGCAAGTCTGGATTTTAACTTGGTGGCAGATGGGCTACTGAAGTGTTTTGAGCACAGGAAAGAATGACCATATTTGCATTTTAGGTCAATTTTTAAAATTACATTTTATTTTAAAATTAGATGTTACATGTATCTTGTACAATGGTCCAAAGCTGGAAAGGTCTTCCCGCTGCCTGCTTTCAGCCCCTGTCCTGTGTCACAGAAGCACTCGCCGAGTCCGGTGAGAAAGAGGACCTACACTGAGAGGGGAAGGAGGATGGGTTGGGCTGGGGAGCAGGGACTCACAGTGCTGGCTGTACCAGGCTGACAGAAGGTTGCAGTTTCTGTCCCGGGCCCTCTTCCCTCGGCTGTCTCTGCTTCTGGAAGTCCCCCTCTCAACTCTGGGCCTTAAGATGGCGCCTCAGTCTCCAGGCCAGACCACCACGTGTGGCCTGTTTCCGCACACTGCCTCTTCTGGGGGCCGTGTCTTTAAGGGGATGAAAATCAGTCTTCAGCATTAAATGGTTTCTGGGCTTCCAAAACTCAACCCTAGGGCCAGGGATTTAGCTCAGTGGTTCTGGTGCCTGCCTTTGCAAGCACAGGGACCCAAGTTCACTCCCCGGTACCAAAAAAACAAACAAACAAAAAAACAAAACCACAAACAAACAAAGAAAAACTCAACCCTGCTCAACAAAGTCTTTTTCTTTTTTTAGGTTTGTTTGTACATTGTCTTGCTATGAAGTCCAAGCAGGCCTCAAACTTGCCACGTGCCTGCTGCAGCCTCCAGAGCGCTGGGCTCAGAGGCATGCACCACCACACACAGGTAACAAAACATTATTTGTAGGGAAAATTTCATATAAATTAAAATTATCTTTTGGGCGTGGTGGTATTGCAGATAGCTAAATTAGTCTGAAGTATTTATGAGGCAGTTAGACAAAGCTGGGCCCTCAGCGTAGAGAAACAATTGAGACACATTCACTGGTTAGCATTATAAAAACAAAAGAGGTACTATACTTATCTATTTCCCCTAGAGATGAATAGCAGTGATTGATATTCTAGGATGGTGATTTTATTTCGTTTTTTTTTTTAGTACCACGGAACTCAGGACCTTGTGCTTGCAAGGCAGGCACAGTGCCGCTGAGCTAAATCGTGGCCCTAGCAGTGATTGATACTCTAAATAAACATCAATCTATTCCTCTTACACGACTTGTTCCCCCATTTGACCTCCATTTAATCAATATTACCTGGGTGACTGTACTTGTAATCTTTTTGTGGGGGGAAGTACCAGGGATCGAACTTGTGTCCTCGCGCTTGAGAAGCAGGTGCTGGACCCACTGAGCTAACTCCCAGCCCTAGTACCTGTAATCATATGGGTCCGTCATGGTTTTGTCCCACCTCATATCCACCTTGTGATTTTCCATCGGGTCTCATAATTTTGTCCCATCTTTTACACTCCCCCCTTGGGTTTTGCCCTATAAAATACCTTTGAAAAGCAGGGTGAGCAGACGACCCACTTTCTAGTCTCCCTTCTATCTCTTTTAGACAGAAGCTATCTTTCAATAAATATTTCTTTCTCTTAATTTCCATTCCTAAAATCTATTCTTCAATTTTAGAGAACTCATGTTTCGTATATCTAGTAGGTTGGGAGTTATATTTCCTTATTTGGATTATTTTTGCTTATTTGGATAATATCTTTGGATTACCTGATTCTCTATATCAGCAGGGGGTTCGGGGGAGGCTGAGTCAGGAACCACCACAAGTTGAAAGCCAGCTCGGGGTCCATAGTGAGTTTAAGGCCAGCCTGAACTACATATCGAGACCCTGTCTGAAAAAAATAAACAACAAAAAAAATTTTTTTTCTATAACGAAACAAGCTTGAGAAACACTGCCCTGCACCTTTATAAATAGTCTCTGTCAGATGCTCACCGATGACTCAGCAGGGGTATGTGCTTCTTTCTGCCCGATTCCTAACTGATGCAGGAGGCAGTGGATTTCGGCCCTTGACGAAGGATGCTTATCCATGCGGTCATGCAGGAAGGCGGTGTAACACTCTGGGAACAGGCCTGGCCTGCTCGGGCTGGAATCCTGGTTCGGCCATTCACAGTGTGTGATCTCGACCTCTGTGTTCATGCTCTACAGGCAACCAGGGCAGCTCTGTCCTTGTGACCCGGAGTGTCACCCAGTGTGTGTGTTAGTCAGATAAGAGCCAGGAACATGATGTGAAACTCAACCTCAGTGTCGGTAAGAGCAGTGCTTTTGGCTCACAGCTGTCCCCATTCGTTGCCACCAAGACTGCGTGGCCTGCAAAGCCAACACTCTACCATCCGTTCCTTCAGGTAGAAGTGTGCCGCCCCTGCAGCATGAAGAGACTCTGGAGCCACGCAGCACAGGGGCCCTGGCCCTTGGGTGCTCCTTTTGCACAGTGATCCAGAATTACAGCTAGGAAGCAAGGGATGGAGCTGAAGGGATCCAAGCCTTCTGAAAAAGTGGGCACAGAGTAGTTTTGTTAGAACAAATCAAGACTGGGAGCCTGGTTTCAAACTACTGCCTCTTGGCTGTGGAGCTAGATGTGGTAGACACTCCTGGTTACCCACACAATATTTCTCCTCATGTTCCTTACTAAGAACCTGATTTTGTTTATTTTTTCTTTTTATTGAGTTTATTGGTACTTTTTAAGTACACAGTACAATTACATTCGTCATTGGGATCTTGTACCTTTACATGACAGATCAGAACCTGATTAATCAAGGCAGCAATATAGCCTGTTACCAGTAATCTTCTAAAGTAAGAAAAGTGCTCAGAGAATGAGAGGAACAGGTCAATAGGACACAGAAGCCAGCTCCAAGGGATTACTGATGGCCATTCTGAGACAAGTTTGGTGTCTAAATAATGACAGTAAGGGATTATAACTCACTGACTACAACAGGAATCTGTGAGTCACTGAAATACATGAAGAAAGTGGGGAACACTGGTACACACCTACGCTCCCAGCTATTCAGGAGGCTGAGGCAGGAGAATCACTTGAATCCTGTAGTTCAGGGGTATCTTGGGGAACACAGAACCTCATTTAAAAAAAAAAAAAAACCCAAATGAAGTAGGAAGGCAATAGAAGGCAAACTAATAAATGTACAAAGGGGCCGGGGGATTTAGTTTAGTGGTTCTGCCTCCCACCTTGCAAGCCCAAGGACCTGAGTTTGATTCCTGGTACCAAAACCAAACAAACAAATATAAAGCAGGAAAGAATGATATAGAAAAATCACCATTTTGCAATCACTATATTGCTTCAGGCAAGACTGATCAGTGTACCCTAAAACTAGTGGGTGTCAGCTTGATGAAGGACGTGATACTACCCTGCAGATCCACATTATTTCAAAGGTATAATAGGGACTTTATAGTAGAGAAATCTGACAAATGTCCTCTTACCGCTTAACCAAGTGGTCAAAGTGAATAGCACTAGGAAGGGGACAAGTCAGAGTTTTGTACCTGCTAATAGGATGTACTGAGAAGGACACAGTGTCACTTCTGTGCTATCTCAACCAGAAGTACACAGCCTGAATCCTGAGGAATGAATCATGAAGAAAGGTCAGACCGACCCAAGTAAAAGATCATCTGAAAGCAACTGGCCTTTGGTCCTCAAAAATATCAGTAACAGGGCCAGGGATTTAGCTTAGTGGTTCTGCTGCTTGCCTTACAAGCATAAGGACCTGCCAGGCGTGGTGGCGCACGCCTGTAATCCCAGCACTCGGGAGGCTGAGGCAGGAGGATGGCTGTGAGTTCGAGACTAGCCTGGGCAACATAGTGAGTTCCAGGTCAGTCTCAACCACATAGTGAGACCCTGTCTCAAAAAACAAAAAATCAAAAAACAAGCATAAGGACCTGAGTTTGATCCCCGGTATATAAAAAAAAAAAAATCAATAATGTAAGTGTGTGGCAGTGTAATCTCAGGAGGCTGAGGCAGGATGATCACAAGTTGGAGGCCAGTCTGGGCTGTATAACAAGACCTTGTCTCACAACAAAACAGAGTGAAATATCAATAATATAAATGACAAATTGAAGAACTGGGTCAGAGTAAAGTAGACTAAAGCAACATGACACCAAAATGCAATGTGTGATTCTGGGTTGGCTCCTAAACTAGGAAAAAAAATATTTTCTTTGCTATAAAGGACATTAATGGGATAAAATTTAGATGAAATAACAGCACTGAATTTAATATTCTGAATTTGGTCATTGTACCGTGGTTATGTAAGAGGGAGTCTTTATTTTCAGGAAGTACATGCTGAACTTTTTTGAAGTAAATGGACATCATGTGTGCATGAGAAAGAGCTACAGAAAATGATAAAGTAAATTGGTAAATGGTAACATTTGGAAAGTTTGAGTGAGGAAAGTTGAGAAATTCTTTGTATCACTTTTGCAAATTTTGTTTGTTTCAAATCATTTCAAAAGAAGCTAAAGAGGAATAACTCATTTTCCCTGTACTTATTCAGGGAGAAGTCCACACACCCAATCCTGCCCAGCTCCAATTGCAGTATAAAGGATGGGGCTTCTCAGAAAATGACTATTTTCCTGATTTTGAAAAAAACGAGGGGCCTGGGGATTTAGCTCATTGGTTCCACTGCCTGCTTTGCAAGCGCAAAGTCCTGAGTTCAATCCCCGGTACCAAAATAAATAAATAAACAATAAACAACAAAAAAGGAGGAGGCAAAAGGAGCCAGAAGTAGCATGGGGGTTTGAGGGCTTCCTCGAGGACTGGCACAGGACTGCCTCTCTCTGGATGACAACTTGATTAACTCACTGTGGGAAGGTTTCTTTCTCTTTTTTTTTTGGTACCAAAGATCGAACTCGGGCCCTTGTGCTTGCGAGGCAGTCACTGGAACCACTGAGCTAAATCCCCGGCCTGGCAGGTTTCTATTATATCCAATCGCATGCAGTTCTAGCTGAGCTAAAACCCCCACGATTTCCCAGATGTTCCCCAAGTTTGGGCCGGCAACCTTCTCCTCTGCCGAAATGGTCTCCTTGGCTACCTCACCCATTCCCGCTTACTACTCACACTCTGATGACACACGCATCATTACCTCCAGCCGGAAATTTTCTCCCTAATGCTAAAGCACAGGCCTTGCTTCCCTACTGATGCCTGCACCTATGGTTCATAATTACATCGACAGTTGCACAGCTAAACTGTGTTTCCTGCCTCTCTCTCCCTCTTCAGACACCATCCAGCCCATTTCCCAGCCACAAGCTCAGGAGTCATCCTGTCCTCTGCCTGCTTTCTCACCCCCTGCATGCGATTAGTCATGCAGATCTTGATGACTCCGTCTCCTAAATAGTTTCTGAATCCCTCTCCTCCTCTTCATTCCCATTTCCAGGTTGATGCTTCATCGTTTCTCACTGATATTTTTTTCCTTAACCTTTTGAACAATCTCCATGTCTCTGTCTTCTGTTCCCCTGACATACAGCTACCCATTCTTTTTCTAAGAGGTTAAACATCACCATACCCTCCTATCAGTTTCCTATCACTTAACTGCTTTGGTCATTTTTCCCAGTGGTGTAATAACGGTGCTGGGATTCTTTCCTCAGCCTGATCGCCCTTCACTGTCCGTGTCCGTGAGAGAAGGACTGTGGATGCCCAAGCTGGGTTGTTATCATCTTAGGCAGCAATGACTCCCAGGTTCCTGTGAACCAGTAGTTTCCTTTGGCTTTTGCCCTCTCTTACTCAGAGCAATTGTTCTTCACTTTACTGCAGTGCTGCTTCACTTGTCACAAAAGTAGCTTTTATACATTGATCAAAATGAGGTGTTGAGGCCACCAGGCGTGATAGTGAGCACTGCCTGACTAACAAACACACTTTGTGGAGGTGGCACTTTAGTCTGTGTGGTAGCCCAAGTGGGCAAGAGCCAAGGATGTTTGCAATACAGCCTGGCTTTCCACGATGGGACGGATCCCTTGTTGTCTTAGCTACTTTTTTGTTGTTGTTATTGTTGTTACCGGGGATTGAACTCAGGTCCTTGCACTTTCCAGGCAGGCAGCGGCACCACTGAGCTAAATCCCCAGCCCTCTTAACTACTTTTTTCTGTTTCTGTTGTTTTTGTGGGGGCTTTTATGTTTGTATTTTTTTTTCTTGTGATGCTGGGGATCGAACCCAGGGCCTTGCACATTAGCCACTGAGCTGCATGCCCTTGGCTGCCTGAGCTCCTGGGACTGGTTGTGTCATTTCCCAATGCCAGATGCTGAGGCTTGGGTGGAGTTGGTGGTAGAGAGGCCTCAGCAACAACAAGAATCGCGTGACCCAGCACTGGCGGCACCTGCCACCATTAGCCTCCTCCTTTAACAGCCTTCTCACTCCTGTTCCTAGCAACATTAAAACAACAACAACAACAAGAAACCCACACAGATCAAATGGAGCCTATTAAAGCCTGCTTCCACCCAAGCAGAGTCAGACATTTCTCCAAAGAGCTTCCACGGCTCTTATCACATCTGGATGCAATTACATATGTTTGCATGTCCATCTCTCTGCATTTGGTTTCCAGCATCTGGATGCAAACTTGCTTTTTGCCTGTCCTTCCACATGAGAATAGTCCGTGTCTGCTGACTAATTAAATGGTGGCTGTTTCTTCTAGGTTGGCAGAGCACAGAGGAGAGAGCATAACCTGCGTGCAGCTCCCACGCAGGTCCCCGGCTGACCAGCTTTGCGACCACAGTCTCCCGACAGCCTTGCACCTCGTTAATAGAGAATAAATCACTTACCATTGAAGAATTGCTCTGAAGGTTGAAAGAGTTAGCCAGGTGCAGTGGTGCACACCTACAATCCCAGCACTCTGGGAGCTGAGGCAGGAGGATTGCAAGTTCAAGCCTAGCCTGGGCGATTTGAGACCATGTCTCAAAAATACAAAATAAAAAGGAGTTGGGGACATAGTTCAGCACGAAGGCCTTGGGTTCAATCTAGTGCTTAAAAACAGAAGAGTTAGCGATCCTTTGTTCATTCTATTGTAGGGCTGTACTGAATGCTTCATATGAACTAGGCGCGGTGTTAGTAACATCGCCTTTTCCTTGTAAAACTTTCAATCTATCAAGAAAGGCTGGAAATTAAACAAGTATTTGCAATAAAATAGGGTGAAAATTGTAATAGGGAAAAGCAGTGCTGTGAGACCGTGGAGGAGGAGGTGCTCCTAGTTCAGGCTTCAGGAAAGATCTCCCTCCACTAATGGTGAGAAACACTTTGCTGTGGATTATATCCAAATGTCCTCCTAAAGCCTTGTGTGGTTGTAGGCGGGACCTTTGGAAGGTGCTTGGATTATAGGTGCACGGTAGCAGACCTGCTGTTAGGGAGTGGGGCCTGGTCAGAACAGGCTGGTTACTGTGGAAGCAACCTGAGGGTTACAGCTCCCCTTCTGGCTCCTCCTGTGCCGCTCTCTGCCTCCCGCCCACCATAACATGAGTGATTTCTTTTTCACCATGCCCTTGTGCCATGCCGCCTGCTTCAGAGCCAGCTGATGTTGGACTGAAACCTCTACACCCTGAGCTGAAATAAACCTTTCTTCTCTTAAGTTTCAGGTGTTGGGTATTTTATCTCCGCAATAAAGAAAGTGAGCGACTAAGACACCGTTGAAAGTACCATCTCCACTCATATCATGTAGAAGTCTCTATTATAGATGGGACTGCCCTTGACTTCGTAGGAGGAAGGTGTCACACTGTGGGGAATAAAGCTTGCTGGAAAAATTGAGCACTGAGCCAGACCCAGCTTCCTTCGAGGTTGCTGAGCAGCCTTCCTGTGGAAGGTGAGCTGCATGAGCCGTTTTCCTGGGGTGGGGTGGCTTTGCCTTCATTTGACCACACTAACTTGCTTTGTTGCTCTAAGAAACCAAGCTCCCCACTTGACGAAGAGTAAAACCCACAGAGATAAGAGCTGCTGGCAGAGTCTGGAGGCCAGATGTGTCTAGGCATGCAGCAGTGGACGCTGTTCACTTTCCCCTTAGAGGTGCCCAGACGCCTTTGGCTTCTCAGCAGCACGTGTGCGGCCTGGCCCAGACCACACTGTGGGTCACCGGGCAACCTGCAGAAGGCTCCCGAAGGTCAGTGCTCCTCCCTCTGTGCTGTCCCCACATGTCTTCCAGCTCTAAAATTCTTTGTTCTTGTGCTCGGTTCAAGAAGGCGAAGGTGGGGGAGGAGGGTGGCTCAGTGGCTCTGCTGCCTGCCTCACAAGAGGGCAAAGAGGACTGGGGTTTGCATGGCAGGAGGGCTTGGGTGAAGGAGCCTGAAAGGCGGTGTGTGCTCCCTCCCCTGGGGCCCAGGGTGTGGCAGTAATGCGCCCCACCTACTCCACACTGCTCTCCTGGTTCGGTAAGCCTGAGTAAGCCTCCCCTGTTGTTTTGTAGGAAAGGGTTTCAGATACCCCTTGCTCTTTCTCCTGTCCCACTCTCTGCTCCTCCACATTTCCCAGATGGTCCCTGAGCATCTCCAGGCTGCAGGCATCATCTCTCTGCCCCCTCGTCTCCCTCCCAGTCTCTCCCTGACTCAGCCTTCTCCGTCTCTCCCAGCAGTGCTGTCTGTCAAAGGCAGCTTCATGCCAGCAGCACCCTGATGCTCCGGCTGGAAGAGAGTCAGAGCCCAGTCCGGTCAGCTCCCGAGGGCTCTGTGGTGAGCTGTTAGCCTGACTCAGGCTTCGGGTGGGCTGCGCCTCTGAGGATGCTCTCTCTCAGCTCTGAGCACTTTTCAGACCCAGCAAGGTAAGGGATGGAGGCAGCAGTAGCCTTGCAGTCTGCACTAGCTTCAGAGGTTGGTAGATTTGCTTTATCTTTCTCTTCCTCTGTTTTGTGGTGCTGGGGATTGAACCCAGATCCTCACACATTCTATGCATATTCTCTGAGCTGTACCCCAACCCCTCTCCTGTTCCCCCTTTCAGGCAGAGTCTTGCTGGGTAGTCCTGGCTAACCCTGAACTCACAATCCTCCTGCCTGTGCCTCCTAAGTGCTGGGCTTACAGGTGTACTCCTCCACACTCAGCTTTTTCTCTCCCTTATTCTTTTTTTTTTTTTTTTTTTTTTTTTTTTTTTTTTTTTTTGTGCTTCAT